TCTGCTTTGGTCACTCACAAGCTGGAGCTGTAAAACAAACATTTGTGATTTAAACAGACAGGGCAGCAGCCTCTGAGGACCAGAAGACAGATTATAAATCAGGATTACACAGAATAGTGATATGGATCTGTTAACTCTGCCCTTGCATGATCCAGCGATTTAGCTCAGTGTACCTGTGTATTGCAATTTTATTGAAAGTTTAATCTGAGTTGGTTGGTTTTCTCCCGATATTACCTGAGTTGAATTTCCAGTAGACGGCTGATGTTTTGTCTTGATTCATGAGAAGCAGCCAGTCTGGGCAGGCAGCACTAGTCGACCCAGATGTGACTGGTGTGATGGATGGATGTGGACCAGCCGCTGCAATAACATGTCTATTTCAGTCCTCCATTGTTTGGCACTCAGTCATCACTGTATATGTAGCAGACCAACAGTCAGTCTCCTGTGCGTACTACCCTTTTGCTCACAAAAGAAAAAGGATTCATAGAAAAAAAAGGAGCATGTGTTTCCTCTCTCTCAGCACGTGTCCTTCCACTGAGTAAAACTGCCCATCTCCCACTTTCCTCTCTCTCATAGTCTGTAATACACAACCTCCATTGCAGCATACACAGAATGGGAAATGTTTGGGTGGCATGGCAACACATTTCCAAAATGGAATAAATGCTTGGCAGCATATGTGTTGTCAAATAGTCTGCGGCCCTATGGCACTCCTTTTTCTTGTAATACGAGAGCTCTTAATGGGGCTGGCAGCATCAGTCCTTTGAGAAACACTTGATTTGAATGAGTCGCTGTGAATACGCCAAAGCACATCAACACCGAACAATGTTACCATCTGCTCCCCATAAACTGAACGAAATTTACGAGCTGTGTCACAACATGAAGTCTGGGTTTTCCAGGGTTTATCTCGGTCAAGTCAACAACATGTTCTGTTCAGGTGACGCCTGTCAGCTGCCCATCACCATCTCACTCTCTCTTCCTCTAACTGACGGCTGCGAGGAAATGACTGCTCTTAGAGCGGTAATTAATGATGTTGATGTAGATATCCAAAAAAATACCCGCTCAAGCAAATATTTAGGCAGCTTAGTTAAAAATCGTGAAGGTCTGTTGTTTCAAATGATTGACTGCTAGAAGAGACAGATCAGATGACTAATAATTACCTGTATTCACTCTTTATGAACTTTAAAGTTTATTGTTACGTCCGCCAAGGGGGTTATGTTTTCACCCGTGTTTGTTTTGTTTGATTGTTTGATTGTCAGCATTATTACACAAAAAGTACCGAACTGATTTGCACCGAACTTGTTGGAGGGATAGGGAATGGGCCAGGGGCAGATCCAGATCATTTACTATTAATTTGAATTTTTTCTCTCAAGTCTAATGTATGTTCTCTGACTTTGGCCTTGGCGCAGGTCTGCACTCTCTAGTGCTCTTCTAGTTTTTTGATTGTTTTTGTGAGCATGAATTCAATGATTGAATTGAAAACTCCTCATGAGATTTCAACTCATTATAGTATTTAATGTCTAATTCCTGCAAGAATAACGAGTATGCAGAGAGGAGTATAGTAGCATAAACATCTGTGATTTGCTTATGTAATGTCAGAACCATCTTTAAAAAGGGCCAGGCCCCTACTCCAGGGATTTCCAGGTACTCTTGGGTAGCCTGCATTTAACAAAACCATTCATTACAGCGTATTATGAAGATTCAAATCACACTGAGATGCAGAGGTAGAGGGGAGGACACAGCATTCATGGGAACCGTGGTGACAAAGTGTTGGGTTGCTCTCTGCCACCTTTGAGTGGAGAACTAGTCAATCAGTGACATGTGACACTGCCGGCCACCTGTCTAACTACGATAGGTGTCTGCTAACACACGTGTGCACTTACCAGCACATATGTAGCCCCAGATAAACGCAGCTGTCCTGGACAGGAAGATTAATCGGACCAACCTAAAGTACAACATGTACCTTCAGTAAACCGGAGGAGCAGTTCTCAGTGTTTTTGACTCATGACTCCTGAGGAAAGGAACGATGTCTACTTAAGAACAACATCATATAATACTTTGTTCAACTTCATGTAATTCTCAGATCATGTATAAAACCTATACAGACTCCCTGATAGGCGTAGGCAATACCACAAAATTTGATTTCAATCCAATAACAAATAATATCAGGGCCAGAATCACTATTATCGATAACCATATAGACCCCAATACCAATACTTTTTATATTTAAAAGCACCATAATATACTATCATACAGTAGAAAGTAATGTGTTCTGATTTATGAGGTGAGAATCATTAAAAGGCTACTGAAGAACACATGGATTACCACCAAATGATTTGTCACAATTTAATGACAATCAAGTTTTTAGCCTTGTTAACATGTCCATGTGATGTTTTTTAGATAATACAAGACAATTCATAGATTGGCAGCCAGCGCCATGACTGAGTATTTGCACCTTGCAACTACAGTGTATCAATGAAGTTTAAAAAAAAGCGGATTCAGACAGCCAGGGTTTCATACATCACAAACCTTAGGAACTTGTGGGGATAGTGGGTGGGCGGGCGAAATAAACTCGAAACCTTGTCAGTACAGAGAGCGAGAGTTTGCATTAGCATTGCTCGCCGCCGATTTTGGAGAACAGCAGACTCATCTGAGTCTGACTGAGGGTCAAACATCTAGCTGAGTCTCTCTGATGTTTTCTGCGCCATCCGTCTTGATAGCACTGCTGGAATAGCGTTATTGGGTGGGGAACGAGGCCTGATTTCCTCAGTGACGAAATAGCATGTAGATGTGCTTCCAGCCCTTTTCCAGAAGTTTTATTTTTTCTTATGTGGGAAAACTGTGTAAAAATCTGATCGTGTGATCAAATGTGAGATCCATTTTATTTGCTATTGATTGCTATTGCTAGTGTTGAAACGTAGTATCTGTAGTAGCCTACTATACTTAGTTTCAATCCTTGATGATTCTTACTCATAAGAAGTGTATTATAGTCATTATGACTTAACTGTAATATCTTCATTTTGTGTGTTCGGGTTGGTCTATTTTGATTTTTGTTCTGTTTTTTATTTCTTCTTTATTTGCTCTCTTTTCCTGCTCTTATTAGGCTCACGTACAATTACAATATCCTGTCTCCCCTGTTGTTCTATTTTTGACTACCCATCTGCACTATGTACCTTTTCCCAGAACAACAAAAAGAGCAGTCATCACCCCAAACTCAAAGACACACACACACACAAGTTCACCCAGAGGAGAGGAGGCCTCAAACATATTAGTATTTCCGAAGAGCATAAAGAAACATTCTTCAAAAGCCAAAATGCAAGCATGAGCCGCACTCAGCTGGATGTAAACACTAGATTCCTGTGCCTTAAAAGGCAGCAAGAAAATGATGTCATTATTCTGACCTCCTCTGAAGTTCTCAAAGGACAGTTGAAGTGATTTTGCTGACACTGTAAAATGCAGCTTTCTTTGAAAACACAGCCAATGTTTTCTCACATGTAATCGAGGCCGAGCAGTCCAGGGCGCTGTAAATTTGTGTAATGTGGCCTTTCCTCTCTCCCTCTCTCCAATGTCTACATTTGCCAGCCGCAGCTACAATGCTCCCTATTTATAGCGCTTTTACCTCAGATATTAACCCACTCTCCCCACCCCCTCACTCCGCCTGCCACTTCCTGCCAGAGAGGAAACGTGTGTGTGTGTGTGTGTGTGTGTGTGTGTGTGTGTGTGTGTGTGTGTGTGTGTGTGTGTGTGTGTGTGTGTGTGTTTTACTGACCTTTGGGAGCAGCGAGCAGTCACACTACTGTTGATAGCAATGGGATTTTGTGTTTCCAGCCTTTTGTGTTAAGTTAAAGAAGTGAGGTGTGAACAGATGTCTGAGCTTTTCACCAGCTTGTGCCTGTTTTTGTTTTCCAATCCTCTCAATGTGAGCCCTCTGCCTTCTTTTCCTCATCTCATCTCTTTTCTTGCAACATCTATAGACAGAGAGAGACATACTCTCACCCACTGGGAGTGAAAAAGAAGGAAAAGTAATTGCTACTCCAGCTTTCCAGGTCAGGTGACAAGTTTTCCTGCCTATATGAGCATATCACATTCTGTATCTATTTCAGAGCCTTTGAATGAATGTGTGTTGTACCCGCTTGGGTGTGTGTTTGTGTAAGCCAACACTTCAGGGTTGAGACGTCGGAGTTCACCTTCCTTCAAGGCTATGATCGAAGGAAAAGCTGCAACAGGCTGGAACATCCTGTTTTGGACGTAAACACTGTTATGCAGACAGGGCTTTCCTCTCTGTGTTGGAAAAACAATCTGTCCTATCACTTTATATCAGCAATCAGCCTCCCCAGTGTCCAATAATAATGAGGACACAAGTCTTTAATTCAGTTTAAAAAGAGCGAGACCCCTTTGCTAAGTATAAAATAGGTGGCAGGTGCTTTGAGTTTGTTTCAGTAACTTGGACAGACATAAGAGAGACATGATAGGAAATCCCAGGGAGGAACAAACTTGCATGGCCGACGTGTCTGTCTGCCTCGCAGGTCCCGGGACATTTTCTCCTGACATCACCTCCTCTGGTCACTGCTGGGTTACTGGCCAGTGATATTTCATGTCTAGACTTCCTGCCATTTTGTTTGGGACTGGTGAGCAACATGAAGGCATAACACAGATGTTTACCTAACTTACTGTATTCATGAAGTCAGCTGTAAATAGCTTAGGTAGACACTGTGAAAAGAAAATAGCTGATTAATTTGCTCCATAGCCAAAAGACATCAAAAATGCATCTGTGCACATTCAAAACAACAAAGTTTGAATGAGTGAGCTTTGATGCAACGGTTCTGAAATGTGTTGCAGGAAGTGAGTGTGGGGGAGCGAGTGCAACTTCTAAAGAGTATCTGGAAACTTTGCAGCTTATTCAGACTTTTGATCTGTCAAAGAGAAATCTGTCTTCCACACAGCAATCTTGCAACAAACAAAGCAATCATTAATAAGTCAAAATTAAACCAGACATATGAGTGCAGGTTGTAAATTTATTTCATGTCCATTCTGTTAGAAGAAAGACCTTGTATTCTTGCTCCTTCACAAACAGCTCATAAAAAACAGTTACTTAGAAAAATATACATTGATATTAGAACTGAAAACTTGAGATTCAGTGTTTAATTCAAATATACAATTTGCATATGAAGAAACTACAAAAAAGGTCAGAAATGGTGGCTTCGATTGAGGCCAGTTTCTTGAAGAGAACTGGGAGAGCAAGCATCCAAAAGAAGGCACTGTCAATTTCCGAACTCCTCATAAAGCTTATTGAGCCTACATTCAGCAAAAAAAAAAAAAAAAAATCTGATTTTCATGTGTGCACAAAAGATGAAGAGGATGAGGAAAGTCAAGGGTAAGTCTGTGAGAAGATATTTCTTCATCGTGTTTACCCCTCCCTTTTTCACCCCATCCTTGACGCCCCCACTTTCTCTGGAAAACAAACTCGAGCTAAATACAGGAGAGCCCAGCTACTGCTACAGTACGACAAACCTAAAGTAACCGACTTTGGAAAGGTCATCAGGTTGAGAAGACAGTGGGGGCTGGGAAGTTTTCTTAAGACTAACCCTCACTTTCCCACTCCTGAGTTAAGCTGAATACCCCCCCCCAAAAAAAAACAAAACAAAAAAAAACAACTAAGGTCACTGCTTTTTGATTCAAACAGTAAGAATGTTCAAGGCATATGTGTCATTAAGAAGCCAGCTGTTAACAACATACTTAATCTTTCATCATCTTTATCACTTTCTTTGTCTTTCTTTCATTTCTCACTTTCAAAAAAACTCCTCCCTTCTCTTCCTCACATACTTCTTAGTAGCCATCTTTTGGTACATCATCAACGTCCAATTACCTTCTACAACAGTCCAGACACAGTCTTTTAAAATGTTCAGTTTCGTTCAATCTGGTCAAGATCAAGCTCTCCCCCCAGCTGAAAAATGTCCCTCTGTGTCCCACAATCACCCTTCCAGAGGGTGCGTTTACCGCCCATGATGCCGATGGGAGACCCGGGCCGCGAGTCCACGCTACATGCCGAATCACTATCGAGCTCTCCATAGGATGAATCCTCTTCCTCCTCATCTCCCGCAACTTCCTGCCGTGACTCCAGTCCGAGCTCGGACACAGCGGTGAAGTCTGAATCTGGTTGGCTGGAGGTCTCGGGGGAGGGCAGTGGTAGACTTGATTGGCAGCTGTCAGTGGCTGTGAATCCGGGGCAGCTCAAGCTCTGAAAAGTCTGAAGTTTCTGAATGGAAGAGACAAAGAGAAAACGAAAACAAGATAAATGTTGGTTTGTAGCTCACCACGTGTTCACATTCTGGCTATGAAAGTAGAAGGATTTGGGGGGGAGTTCGAGCTCAGGGTTTTCCAGAATGTCAGTTTGAGATTGGGTTTCAGGTCGGGGAGCCAAAAGCTGGCCTACCCTGTCATCGATGGCATATGAGCATGTAAACACACAAGCACACGAGTCATCGAAGAACATACACAGAAAATAAAACCTTCTGGGTCGTATGAGAAAAAAAAAAACACAAAACACTGAGATGAGTTGCAAACCACAGAGTATCTTGTTTCAAACTGTGCCGTAGGCCACTGTGACTGGAAACCCAACCCTGTATAGTGGAGGACATTTCTTGTCTAAGCCAGTCTTATTCACAGTTGTTATGTTTTGTAGTTCTGTGCTCTTAGGGACAATATACGTACGGCCACATGTGGTTGGATTTTTGCTCTCAGCATCTGACCTTAAAGAGATTTAATCCACTAAGTAGTTGTCTCCCGTTTTGCTTTCATGCTCTCTTTCCATCCTGAATTCCTCTCTGCAACAAAGACAAGCAGCCGTGCAGCGCAGTGAAAGGGTTAATGATCTCTGGAGTGCCCCAGCAGCAGATGTTGGAGGCATGGAGGTGAATAGAGATGAGGTTCTCTCTATAGAGCCTTGGCTTACATGACGGACACCTCTAATGTTCCCTAGCATGTGTTAGGACATTGCTTTTCCTGTTACAATGAGGTGGGAGTCTCCCTTTCTTAAGTCTCACTTTAGTAGGCCCACTTTTTTTTTTTTCCTGCCTTGATTTAGCACGGTCCAAATTAAAACTATAATGCAGAATTTTTGGCTGTCTGAGTTAAAGGTTTGTCCACTTTTGCTGGATTGATTTTTTTAAAGTTAGCTGCTCAAACACAGGATACTTCATCTGCAAGTGCTTGAGGTGATCATGTGAGGAGTGGGAGGCCTTTGCTGTAGTTACCCCACTGGAGTGGAAAAGGGGATTTCTGAGCCCTGGCTTTCTCTGTTCAATCCCCAGTATTACCCCACTACTAATTATCACAGCAGAGGAGGAGACGAAAGGAAGAGAGAAAGGAGGGGGCAGAGGCAGTTTCTCCACAATATGCTTTCTATAAAATCTACTCAAGCTGACTGGGATTTGGGTGGGTGTGGTGGTAGGTTGGGGGAGTAGGGTAGGATTTCTACTATGTACCCCTACCCAGATGGAATACGTCCATACATACACACACATAAACTATATTCACCATTAACAGGCATACACGTCAGCTCATAAACTCATGCTGTCATGTCTCATATAACCCACTGCCAGAGCCAGGAGTTGGGTTTTCTTGATCTAATCATTTTCAGACTAAAAAATTAACACTTAAAAAGCAGTACTCCAGTGATTTAGTGTTGCATTTTCACAAAATTGAGGGATGCACAATAAACATTTAGAAAAGACAAACAGATATCCTAACTTTTAGTCACTAGCATCAAGCATTAAAGTCCAAAAACCCTGGATACTTCATTTCCCAGAATGCAGCTAGATAGTCTTTAATTAAACCATTCCAGGCATAATCAGGGTTATTTTTTCAATTTAGAAAAGCTGCTCCAAAGCCACAGAGAACATTATATAATTGTTTTCAGAGACGGAGTAGTACGCCTCATGACGAGGAAACTGAGCTTCACACATAATCTTGGTGGAGTGCTCCTTTAAAAGTTTTCAGTTGTAGTTCATGTGGTGCTTTAATAGCACAGGTCCCAGAGCTCTGTTTGAAATGACACATGTCAAACACTGGCAGCAGATAACACAGCAGAAACACTCCTGAATCTGTGTACAACACAGCCGAACAAACAGGACTGGGAGGATTCACAATGTCACATTGTTTTAATAAAGAAGATGGTAAACAATATCGTCTGACACTGTGATACTAAACGCATGATTGAATCTCATCTTTGAAATTACGAGGCTTTTGTCCTACACATTACATCCAGTACGTGTGTGCATCATTTCCGGGATATCGCGTATACATAGTTTGAAACCTGAGTGAGAAAGGTGGTGTCTTAATGAAACAAAGAGAGGCAAATAAAGAGTGTTGATATATTAAAAAGCTATTTCTGGGGCGCTCCCGTGGCTCAATGGGTAGAGCACGTAGCACTTAGGCTCAGTCATTACTGCCCTTTGCTGCGTGTCATCCCCTCTCTCTCCCCAACTTTCCTGTCACTCTCTCACTGTCCCTATCGGAATAAAGGCAAAAAACTTCCCAAAAAAATGAATGGGGTATTATGTAATTAAATTAATCCATTCATGAGAGACAGTGGATTACTCTTTAATAGCAAGCCTACCATTTGTTTAAATTGTTCAAAGTCAGACAATAAAACACTCTTTTATATCTGATTAATGATATTCTTTTAGACATTATCCATTATCCCAACCACGATCAACACAACAAGAACTTCCACTGTAAATACATTAACTTGGGACCAAAAGGCAGCTGCTCTGAGAGAAGCACAAGCACAAGCCAAGAGGTTAAGCAAATATCCTCCTGATAATTAGGGAAAACAATAAACAACAACCTGCTGAGTACAATGGCAAAGGTCCTGCTGTGCACCTACAGGCACAATGTGTGTGTACATATATATATATATATATATATACATACATACATACATACATACATACATACACATACACACACGCTTATTTGTATAAAATTAAGATAAAAAATTCAAATAAAACTGATGACTAGCTGAAGTTCAATGAACGTGCTTCTGTGAAGATCAAAAAGATGCAACAGCAAATCTTCTTATGAAAACTAAACCATTTTAATAGTTATGTCTTGCAATTTTTTTTACAAGGCCTGACTTGTGTATTTAGTAACCAAGACCAAGATAAGTTGCAGCACATGATCATGATTGGGTGTGAAATGTCGGTTGCTCAGTTTGTGGAAACACCTCATTCTGAGTAAGGCTAAGCAAATCCTTGGTGACCCTGCTCACCTTCTACACAACAGGTTCCAGCTAAGCTATTGAGGCAGAGGAAGGTTTTTGATCAGACTGATAAAGGAAAGAGAGACAGTACAAAACAAAAAGATTCAATGATTGTCTGGCCAGGGCCATGTGCAATAGTAATACTTGTGCAACACTTGTATGGTGCAATATATCTGACTATTAGTTGCTTACAATTCCGATGCAGAGTTGGTGTCTCAGTGATCATGTAGTCTACTGAATATGAAGTATTTACAGGTGTGTGAGTGTGAGTGAGTGTATGTGTTAGAGGAAGGAAAGGGGCGACTGTATATTGTATAGCTGTATTTATATTTGTTTTTATGCTTGCTTTGTGTATTTCTGCACCTCCAGCACTCAAATTCCCCGAGTTTATAACATTTACTATGACACTGATACAAAAACAACAGCAAAAAGAATCATGCGAGTACTTTACAATACATTCAATGTACACATTCAAAATATGAGTATATATCTCTGTGCTGAAATGAGGTCAGATAATCAATATCCAGCAACACACTGCACTGAGGAAGACAGGCAAACAGACCTCCAACAGCAAACAACTGTAAAACAAAAGAGAGGGCAGAGGTGCAAGCAAAGACAGGAATGCTTAACTCATTCCTGCCAGCCAGACTACATAGTTGCAGAACGGCGCATCAGTTATCTCTGTCGGTGTCTCTGTGTGAACACCTTTGCTTTAGTCATTGCATTTGTCTGGTATTCACTGTACCACCGAGAGAATGTGTGGCAGATACGTGCAAATGCCTTGGCGCGAGATGAAAAAAAAGATATAAATGCAGGATGTTAGGTTTGAGCAAAGGTTGAACAAGCAGAGGTAATATGTCGCTGCACATTGCGAACACCGCACCTCAAGACGCCCACCTAGGTATTCCCTCAAGCCTGTGGGGCTTGAAACTCAGCTATGATCACCATGTCTACCATCCCAGGAATGGTTTGAGATGGAAAGAGGAGGGGACGAGCAGAGCGCCTCGAACGTGGGCCAGTGAGAAGATATTAATAGAGAGGAGTGAGGAGTTTGTCTGCCAGCTTCCCTGCAGAAATAATAGCCCCTTTCTCTGCCCTGCCATTTTCCCCCTGAACGCACAGGCAACCGCACACACTCGCACTTTCAACACGACCCCTGTTACCACCTCTACTGCTATAACACAGCTGAGCCAGTGATAGCCTGTAATTTTGTCTTCAAGATGCACAATGATCCAAGTGAAGTTGGCAACTGAGGCTATGAAGACAACATACATCCAAGCGACACTGGCCAGGCAGGCCGTTTCCTCAAAAGCAGTGTGAGCTGCGTCAACAATCAATCAGCAAGTGACCTAGATATCAAACGATAACATTCCCAGTCTGACAGCTCGCTATGCAGAGGAAAAAACAATGAAGGGCCAAGGTGGAAGGGCAGCCAGGGATAAAAAAAACAAAGCAGCAAACAGAGCAGTGAACTGATACACATGGCTGACAGGGAGTATATTTGAGGAATTTTGGGGGTGACCGCACGTAAATCCCCACGGTAGTCGAGTTATAGCCGATTAGCATGACACGCATCCCCAGAATTCACACCCTCCTTTCATTGACGTGGTCGAGGAATCTGGAGGCCAAATTACACCATGTTCCACTGACAACACACACTGGGGACTTGTTATGTGTTGACCCTCACAATCCAATCCTGCACCCCCTGAACCTCCAGCAGACTTTTTTTTTTTTTGCATTTATTGTCCGGAAAATTCAGAAAACAAATGTCTGTACTCCTGCAAATGTCACTGGAAAATTACAAAGTTTGCCCTGATGCACAGGAACCAATTACCTTTGCTTTTCCCTAGACTGTATTTGTCATTCACACACCTATAAAATGGAGGAAGCATGTATGTGTATGTGTGTAGGTGAGAGAAGAAGTAATAACTCTTAATTTACACTGTAAGGCAGGGCCAAGTGGGAGTGTTGTGATGGGACTCACCCACTTCTTGGTAAAGTGTGGGTCACTTAATTCAGACATAGGTCAGTTCACACATCAAGTGTTCCCTGAAACGGCTCGAGTAAAATAATCAAAAGCCAGAAATATGTGATTCTGTCATTTATAACTGCAGGTACAAATCTTTCGTGCAAATCACAGTTCCCATTAGAGGTTGTGAAAATAAATAAGTCAATTGTATCTCTGCCCAACCCTGATGGTAACTATCATGTTCAGTCCTCACTGGAGCTGACACAAGTTGTAACCAGCCCTTCATTTCCCTGTTATCACTTCCTTTTCCAGACTGTTTGCCAGCTATAAGCTTTCCTTTTCTCTGTGGCTCTCACTGAGAAAAACCACCTCGTTTCCCATGACAACTATGTGAATCTGGGTGCCTGTAGTTTAGGAGTTCCAGGTTATTTAATTTAACGTGGCATAGTACAACCCTGGGCACACTAGAAGCAGCATTTTAAAGAGACCAACATCAAGTTAAGTCTGAGTTGTGTAGGAAAAGATAGAGAGGCAAAAGGGTTTCAAAATGATACCCTATGAGCTGTGTTATTGCATATGTTCCTCACTCAAGGTATGCAAAAGAATTAATGCAATCATGCAAGTCCATCCAAAAATCAAAACAAAAAAAACTGAACTGAAAAAAACTGAGGTGAGAAACAATGGCTCTGCCAGTTAGTCACTGAGAACAGATACTACTTTCACAATCTTCTGCTGAAATGTGCTCCTGCATTTGAGAATTGCTGCAACCAGAAGTAACAACAAAAAAAAAAAAACCTGACAACTCGTGTGTGTCGGTGAATCTGTGCGTACGTGTGTGATCATCGTGCTTCATTTTTCCACTTTTAGCAGCTGGCATGACTAGAGGAAACATGCTCGCTAGGCTCCATTACCAAAGCCCTGTTGATCCAACCCTGGCTAGGTCCTGAGGGTGAAAGGCTGGGAACACAAATCTATGGGAAAAGGAAGGGAGGGTGGAGGGATAAATTGATGGTACTTTCTAATAAAAGAAAAGGAAAAGGACGATATTTCCTGGACAGGAAGCATTTTAGCGTATCATATGAATGACATGAGTGCAGGAAAGCAGGGGTATACAGGACAGGTTGGCTTTGGTATCAGTGGCTGCTGTTGGTGCTTTAGATTCTATTCAGAATTTCAAGAGCATTCAAATGACTTATGAATCAGGATGTGATACAAGAATCAAATCAAGATTTTTTTGGTCTCCGTAAAAACATTAGAGCACTGCCAAGCGTCAAAACAGTGCATGCCATTAAGATACTTCTATGGTTCTATTCTTGGTTTGGGTTTGTCCGGGGGTCATTTATACTCTCTGGCTGTTCCACCGCTTCCTCTGACCTCACATAGGAACAAACAAACTCTTGTCGTGGGGGAAAGCAATCCAGAGTACTGTGCATCCAAATATCCCCCCACTATTAATCACATTTGGTTGCTCTAACTGCCTGGCAGTAGACAGAAGGCAAAAGAAAAGAGATGAAGCAGTGTGGTGAATGGAAGATAAAAAATATGGCGTAGGAGTTGCAGAGAGGAATCAAATGAATGGTGAGGGAGGTCCAACCTTCGGAAGGGCTGTTTACCCAGCGGAGTAAATGAGATGACAAACCCGAGCCAGGTTTGCTAGAGTGTGGCGCTAGGCAGCGTGACCGAACATGAGGAATGCGTCTTTAGTAAGCGCCACTCCCTGAGCTGGAAGGAAGGAGGCCTGAGATCACTTAGCCCTGAAGCCTTGGACCAACAACCCAGAAAACTTAATTCTGCTTGATTTAATCCAGTCCCTGATCAGACCCAGAGAGAGAAAGGCCCAGTTACGTTGGAGGATCCCTTGAACTTCCACTTGGTCTAAGAACAAAAAGGTATTTGTCTGTGTGGTAAATGCGTTTGATCCAGGATTTAACTAAATGCAATAGAGTCCATTTGGCAGCAGTAAAGCAAAAAATTAGCAATAAGCTGATGCTGATTTATGTTGAATCAGTGGACGTAAGTGATCCTAAACTCTGTGAAATGAGTGAAATTTAATGAAACGCATTCACATGAATGTGAGTATGTGTGCTTGTCTGTGCGTGTCAATATGCGTTCCAGCTAACCTGAGTCATCTTTGCCAGGTCCAGGGAGGGCCGCTGCTCCTGGGCATCCTCTGGTCTCCTGCGCTTCATACCAATCTTTTTGTCATTTAGCACGCAGGGCTGGGACCTGCTCCGAGACAGACATCCCGTGCCCCCGGCTCTCTGGCCAGCTCGCCTTCCCAGTTCTGGGGTGGAGTCTGGAGAGCTGGCCTCCGACGCTTCTTCCCTCTGAAGCTCTGGCAGGCTGATCTGCTCGTGGGATAGGGAGAGAGGCCTGAGGAAGTGGTGATGGCGGGAGTGGTGATGATGCGAGGAAGGAGAGGTAGGGGAGACTGGAGAGGCAGTGAACTGAGGGTGGAGAGGCAGTCGCTGGTTGAAGAACGGTAGATCCAGGGCTCCGTCTGAAGGGACGCTGGAACGCGAGGGCAAACTGAAGCTGGAGCTACGCTGCATGATGGGAAAATGACCACCAGAGAAACCCCCTCCTCCTCGAACACTTCCCCCACTGTGGCACCTTCGTTTCTCCACTGTTGTCCACACTCGGGAGCCCTGTGGCCTCCAAGATGAGCGGAACCCGCTGAATTCATCAGAGAACGACAGGGAGCGACACTGGCGTTTGCTCGGGGGTGCCGTGGGAGCTTGGCTGGTGGCTGTAGTGGTGTAGTGTGCAGTGGTGGATGTGCTCTGGGAGTCAGGGCTGGTCATGCTGCTGTTGCTGAGGCTGAGATCTCTTATCAGACTGGTGATTGCCGTGGCGCTGCCTGGCTCCTTGGCCCAGTGCCCGCTCCCCGGCTCAGGCATCACATCCCACAGGCTCTCCAGGGTGGCACCAGACTGGCAGGGAGCTCTCTGCTGGATGGCACAGCTCCGTCCCAGGTCCAGCCACCTATCTGCCTCTGCAATATTCAAAACATACATTCTCACTCTCATTGACCTCGCTAGCATGCCTTTCTATATCTCATTATCTCACTTGCATGATCACAGCAGCTACAAAGTTCTTAGCTGACAAGGCACAAACAAGCAGGAAATAAGCTTAAGGCAAGAGGGGATGGTCGCTGTGAGGCCAAGCTGTTTGGAAAATAAGGGAGATTATTGTCTGCTAACTGCACTTGGGAGGTATTTAACCAAGAAGAAAGTGAACACATACTTAAGGGCAGAGAAAATCATGGGCTCTGGTGCATTTAGAAAAATATATAATTTGTCATCAGTCATTTGTTTTAAGAGGAATGACAGGATTAAGCCTTGAGGAAATAACACTGCAGCTGCAGAGTTCAAACCAGTGCTGCTCATTTGTAACTGAGCTGAAAGCCGGAAAACAAAAGCTGAATTGACAGCAAGATGAAAAGAAAGCGAGTCTTTTACCTCAAGCATAGTGGCATTTTTAAAAACTGACATTTAATTCTCAGTGAATTTTAAGACATCACTGTTTTGTGAGTCTAAAGAAGCTGGTTGTTTTTTCATGAAGAATTTTGTAGTGCTCATTAAGATATCCGGTACATTTTACAGACATGTCAGTCCACCAAAGGTTAAAGACGCTGTTTATCAGGTATCCAAAGGACAAGTAGCCACATTCCTGACTATTTAAAACGTGGACCTGCAAGACTGCTGATTCCAAAAACATGAAATGCATATTATGAATCAGCCAGTTAAACAGTTGGAAAAACACTCCCATTAGTCAAGTGGTTAGCAGAATTATGCTCCAGAAAGCAGTATGACTTGCCAGCTGTCTCACCATCCGCACAAAAGAGTCTATCACACACTTGTGGGAGATAATACACCTACAGTAAAGTGCCATAGTGGCTTGACGCTTTTGGCAAAAAGGGCCCCTTGCTGATCCAAATCCCATCCTTGTTGGGATGCTTGTCTCCAATTCTGGCATGCTCTCTCACAGACTGGTGGACGGAAATCATTGTTTTGGGTGGACAAACAATGTACGGGGGCTACAGTGACGACCTGACAGGAATGTTAGGAAAACAACTTGACAAAGGGAGAAAGGGATGAACTTCAAAAGGCCACCCTTTGAAAACAAGAGACAAAGTGCTGGTGAACTAACAAGACATGCTAGGCAATCTCAACATCAACATTAAGAGTGGAAAGAGTAAGCCACGCTCCTCCCTGTGACGTCACCACATCTCCACCCCAAAGGAAAAGAGGACAGTGAGCGATAGCGGGGGGCTTGAATTTACAGTAGCATGTCTTTTAACACAGGGGGTAATTACTGAGACACTAACCGAGCCAAAGGGAAATTGTTGACATAGGCAACAACATATTCAATTACAGTTCACTCCCATGAGAGTGGTGTGCAACGTTGTGTGGAGGCAGGTGCACCCTGATCATGAGAGGGGGATGAGTGACAGACGGAGAAAGGGAGAAGTGAGAGACGGAGTGTGACAGAGGGTATAAACAATGAGACAGTTATAGTCGGGGGGCGAAGACCTTCATGGTTCAATTCATCAAATGATCAGAGGGGCGATCCATTATCCTATTACATTTGTGAAATTATGTTACAACAAAAAAGAGCCAGCTCACTGTCCAGATCTTGAGCGAATGCAAAGCACAGACAGATGAGAGGTTTTATTGCAAGAAAAGAAGAAGCAAAGACAGACAGACAAACAGAAATGACATGAATGGAGATAACTCACCCACAGTTCCACAGGAGAAGAGGGTGGTCCCTCTGCTCATGGTGTGGAGCTCACGCTGTGGACGACGGGCAAACAGAAGGGCCGACAGTCAGGGAGATACAAAATAAACCAAACAAACTGCAAACAAAAGTCCAAATGTTTGCCTTCACACCACAATCAAATGAGAAGATCCATATCAGTTCTGCATGTTTCATACCCCTGTAGATCAGGAACATACTTAACCAGAGATGGAAAGTATAAAGTACATTTACTTAAGTGCAGTTCAAAGCTACTTGCACTTTCGCTTATCCTTAACATAAAAACCAACTCAACTACATTTTAAAAAGGGAAATATTGCACTTTTTACTGCATACTTTGCAGATTGAAATTTTAAAAACCTATACTACACAACGCTGCAAATTCATCTACGCAGCCCAGTTGTATAAGATAGTTAAAATAACTTCCCCTCAACCAGATACATCCTCGAAATGCTTACTTAAAGCAACACTAATCAGTATCTTTACATGTTATGTGAAAGGTGTCACTTGTGGTCACGAGAGAATTACACAAAGAATTAACACCCGACTCTGCAGTTCCCTGCAGCTCTATGGAGCTTTAAAGCGCTTTTCAGTTTACCGTTTAGTTTTACAGCCTGCAACTTTACTGTTTACGGTTCACGCTCATTGCTCTCATCAGCCTCATTTGCAGAAACAGGATGATGTTTTCACCAATAATGCTCTGATAAACCATCTGTATGCTACCTGCTCAGCACAAAACAGCACACAGCAAACACAGAGGAGCATTTAGTAGCTAAAGAGCCATAGACATTTTCCTTACGTCACACCAAACCGGTTTTGTGTTAGAATTTTTATATAGAACAAAGGTTATTTAGGGAGTACAGAACAAAGGTAATCTAGGGAGTATAAAAGAGCTGTTTTCACACGCCTGTCTTCATATCAGACACCTACGCTTTCTCACAGGTTACTAATTACAAAAGGGTGGTAACTGTCTGCACAAAGGACAAAAGGAAAATGTGACAATATGTTGCTCTGACTCACCTCAAGATTATCATCACAACAAATACAATCCAGGGCATACAATCCAAATAAAAGGTTATTATGTTGCAGGGGACTATTAAAAGCAACAATTAGTACAGTCAAACCTCAGGCCTTTAACTTGAGTGAAAAGGTAATATTAACCCAGGTAAAACACAAAAGCTGTGCAAAATCATTTATACTTCATACTTCCTGCCGAGATGTACAAAAGTGTAGAAGAGATGTCGAGACCTAATGAGGCTCTCAAGGTCAAAAAAAAAAAGAGATGTTAGGAGGATACAGCTGTGTTAAAGAACTTTTCTGATTCATCCCAACTTGAGAGGCTGAAGGCCGAGTGTTTAGATTTTGCAGAGACAAAAGATACAAAATGTAAGATTTTATAGAGGCAACGAGGAAACAGCTGGAAAAGTGAAAGCTTTGATCAGATTACAAATTTTACACAGCTCTTCTGTTGTGCTAACTTAGTGGAGTGATGTTAAAAATTAAATGTAAATCCTCCTTATTTTAATTCTACTTGAACTGAAACCAGAGTGTACTGTCAGTGAAAAAGGAAATAGTTCTAAGGAGGAACCTCCCAAAAATGCAACACTAAACATGTTTCTTCTCAGGTCAATTAGAAGTTGCTTGTTGCAACATGTTGGGCAAGGGGTGAAATTAATTGTTAACAGAACATTGACATATTTGGAAACACAAGTGTTTTAGTTTCATCTTGGTTCAGCACAGACAGAAATTGTTCAAGTCTCTGAAATCTACTACAGGGATGCTCTCGTATGCTGTTTTGATGAAGACAGTGGAGAGCACTCAGTCCAAAATGTCCCATATGTGTTCATTTGGGTGGAGATACCATATAGTATAATTTACATTATTTTCATACTCAAACCATTAAGTGACCCCTGCCTTCATGAAAGCATCTGCGTTTGTTGCTCCTCATCTATTCTTTTAATTTGTCAACCATCTGCAGGTCTGGGGCATGTTTAGCCTAATCTAAAAACAGTTATTGAATCAGAAGAAAAAATTCTGGCTGACTTTTCTGTAAAAAGAAAAAAAAAAAAAAAAAAAAAAAGGAAAAAAACATACCCCAAAACCACCAATTTAACATTCTGTATCAACAACACTGTCAAACCTGTGCGTAAGTGTCGCAAAAGTCTAGCGCAGTGGGCAAAGCAGTTATTGAAATACTATGCCCATGCTAACTCCCTCTTAAACCATTGTTTCATTTTCTCTTTTAAAAATGTTAAATACATAACATACAAGCTGTAAAGAAAACTGGCTTTGAGTTTTTGTTGTTGTAGTTGAGCCTATTTTTTTTTTTTCTTTTACTTTTGACTGAGGTCTGTTAAGATAGCTTTTCCCCCTGCTTTCAATTGTTGGCTAAACTAGGCTAACCACACCTTGGCTCTCTTGCTACTGAACGCATAAAGATGAAATTCATATAGATTTGCTCACCTAGCTGTGGGTAAGGCAACCAATACAAGCGAAAAAGCTCAGTCCTCATTTCACTGTGACATCAATGACAGCTAAAGACACCTAAATATGAAATTACTCACTACCATTAGGCTAGCAGATTGTGGTTTGGCGTGCAGACTTGCAGTGTTCAAGTGACTGTATGTGACTACCAGTGGCATGTGTGGCATTGTGGTGCACTGATCTAGTATAATCACTGGCCTATTTATCTTGCATACTGCCACCTAGCATGTGAATCACTGAGCAGATCCTTCACAACAATAACTAACAACCGGTTTGGTTTGACTCAAAAGGTTAAGTTTCTCTTACCAGCCGTCTCTCGGTGTGCTTGGACCTTACATCATTGACACCCTTCTTCTTTTCCAGTGTTTTCGATAAAATGATCACCATGGTAGCACGCAGCTCTGCTCCAATCTGTTTGGGTGCAGAAGAAGGCCACGGGCAGCCATCTTAGATGAGGGTGGAGGGCAGATTTGTGTGCATTTGAGCAAAACAGGCAACCGGTTCGTGACCTCCCATCTGCAAAGCAGCCCTCAAGTGCTGAAGATGGTGGTGGTGGAGGTAGGAGGGTGTCTAATGGAAAGAGATAAGGAGAAAGAAAAATATAAATACTGACTCAAAGTTTTATTTTAAGGTTTAGAACCTTGTTATCTCATCACAACAGAACATTAAATGTCAGATGTTATCATTTATTTCCAGCTAACAATCTGGTGCAAAGCTAATCCAAATCCCTATAAATACAACACATGAAGAGATGTATGCAAACTGTGTTGTTGTGCCTTGTCCTGTGCTAGACAGTTTGATCAGACCAGATAAATAACAAATATAAATAATACCCACCTCGTTTAAAGTCCCCCTCTACTCAAAAATGTGTTTTGCTTATTGTTACTTTGCTTTCACGGTTCAAAATTATGTTTCCACAGAGTCTTCCCATTCATTTGCTCAGAGGGGAAAGTTGCTGCTCTGTGGCCACCTTAAACCTGAGTTTAAGGTGTGCACATACAAGCAGGATATTTGTAATATTACAAGTAGTTTGGAAGCCAGTCATGATTCAGTGTGTAACTTACACAAGTATGATGTGGAAACAAGTGCACATTCACTTAGTGCTGGCTTTTCTTTGACGTAAGAGACATCTTGTGTCTGGGAGTTTAACTTTTGAAATGAGTCTTATTGCATATTCATAGTTTCAAGTTTTCAATGAAAGAGAAGGAGAATTTTGAACAAGGAAACTGCTCAAACTGATCAAACTGAAAACATACCCGACACACATAATAATTTCTAGCAGACGTTTTATATGTCTTAAAACATGTCTGGAGGGGATCTTTAAATGAAACAAGTACTCCGTGAATGAACTTATTTGCTGAAAAAACGTATGTTTCTCACAAACACAAATTGCAGTCAAACCGAAATGGCGTAGTGATGGCATACAGCAGTACTTTCATTTAACCATACATGAAGCAGGTCATGGTCTATAGTGTGTGGTGACATACCAGATACAGCTCTAGTCTTGTGGTGCAATACAGAACATATTCATGTATACAAAAAATAATAATAAATACATAATAAAAACTGCATAAAAAGACTGCATTTTCAAAACTAGTTCATATTTGAATCTAATTTCTGACCCCTGGCTTAAAGCAACGCTTCACAACTGAGGTCCAACTCCAGGAATCAATTTTTACTAGCAAAAACCTGATAAACAGCATAATTTGACAGCGGATCGACAGTAGTTGAGAAAAAGGAGTGCTGATTTATGTTTTTCCATTCATTTTCTTTTTACTTCCTGACATTCATGGTAACTTGACCACTCACATACATGCCTATAAAGCCACTACCTTTGTGAATAAAACATGCTGCCATACAGAAAAACTGTTTCCTTATCCCTGTAAATAAATAATGGAACATTTTGCATGTCAGCTTAGTCCACCGAACAAATGGGAAACTAAACATGCTGTAACAGAAAGCAAAGTCTAGCTAATCTGGGAAATGACATCACTCACATCATTTGAGTACTTTTGTGGCTAAGAAACATGAATAGAAAAGGATCATATATGGAACTGCGGTTGCCTCATCGACTGCCTGCACCCACAGATGGTAAAGCACAGACAGTAGCTGCTGCAGTAAACACCAACTCTTAAAATGCTTGGAGGGACATGCCTTGTCATGTCTGCGCTGCTCAGCCTTTTTGATGCTATATAATGCATGGGAAAGATCTGGGTAAATGATGGGCAGGTTCAGTTACGCTTTCTTTACCCTTAGTGCAAGAGGGGGGGGACAAAAGTAGGAATAACTGCAGTGACCTTGGGCTTGAGCCTTTCTCCTTCATTAGCCAACCACTGAACACACTGACACATTGAATTAGAGAGTACCAACATGGTTCAGATCCCCCAATCAACTGTTGGCTAATGACAACTCTCTGCTGTGGAGCAACACATGAGGCTAATGGATCTTCCAGGCCTACTATGTTAGCCTGCCCGTTTAACATGTAGTTTCATGTTAAGAAAGGGTCGTTGCATTTATATAACATGCTTTGGAGAGAAGGATGCAAGTGCGCACTGGGTAGTAAATGACACTAACTCGGGCACAATAAGAAGGAACATACCATAAAAGAAAACATTAGGGGGGGGGGTTATTCACACAGGGATTTGATAAAGCAATTTTACACCAGCCTAGTCATATCTTGTTATTTTACTATGTCATCTCTATCCCTTCCCTCTTCTCAAGCCCCATGACTACATGAGGACTATAAATGTTTCATGTAGGCCTGCCCCAAACCAACTGCTAGCATATGACTCCCATTATCTCCATTTATCCTAGAGAGTCATTGGAGCACAACTGGGCCTCCGCAGGCGAGAGGGGCTGGTATTGGTGGTGGGAGTCAAAGGAGAAGGGAATGTTCTTCTTGATCAGTTTTGCAGATTACTTTACTGATTAGGGCTGACAGTGAGTAATGGGCGCGGCAATGTAACAGGGTATGTGTGTGTTAGAGTGCGAGTTGAGGAGCATGACGGTTATGCGTGAAGGTTGTTACAGTGCGCTGTTTGACTGATGCTGTTAGGAAGTGTGACGTGTTCCAGCAGGGCTGAAACGGCACCTCCACAGTGAGAACGAATGTGTGTGTATTTGTGTCTGTACATGCATGTCTGTTCATGCTAACCTGCGCTTGTGTGTGCGCATAGTGACTGGCAAGTGGGGTCATGGGAGAGGGCAGACCGAGTGTGAATTCAACCCTGGATCCATGCTTACTTAATGAAGCGACTCCTCCTGATGGGGAAACCAGAGCTTAATGGAGAGAGAACTGTGGAGCCTCCACTGATCAGATAAGATTTTCACTGCTTATGAAAAAGCTGTATTGTTTGACTTGCTGTCTTCCTAAAAGAAAATCCAGACAGAAATCAATTTGCCAGACACCACCTACAGGTTTGATGGGTCAGACTCTAACCATTTCCATTATGTGGGCTGTTAAATATAGTCTCATGAAACCAGCCTAAACCTCACAAGCTCTGTTTTACATCCTTCGCTGAAAATCATTCCATACTGGTACCTTGAATCCGGACCAATCAGCAAACAAAAGGGAGTGGCCTCAATGACAATTTGATTTACTGCCTCTCAATGTTGTACACAATAATTCAAACAATGCATTTTAGATATCAAATGATCCATGCCCCTGCAACTTGATGTGCTACTTCTGCCTTCAGATTAGTTCAGTAACAAAGAATTTGACATTTTTAGGACAGCTGCCAGCTGCCATGACTTTCCAGTTTGAAAATCAGCAGTGCAGATCAATGACAGCCCAGTAAGGAGTGTAATCATAGTCACCCTACGTTCAGTAATGCCTGTCCCAAGCAAATGTATACTAAACCTTTCCAGACTGGAAGGAGTGATGTACAGCTTTGCAATGTTGAACTAAACTGAAGGAGACCATGTTATTGTTTGGGCCTAGAAAACATTCAAGGTCCATGTAGCTAAATTTGACCTCCATAGTGGACTCAAATCTAATGTTAATTCTGGTCAGATTTGTGTATGCTGGGGTGCAGGCAGCAGCTCTTGGCTCACAATAGCCAGTGACTCAGGAGGGCACTAGAAAGGGCAGCTAAGATAATATGGCTCTTTGCCCAGGCTGTGATTTGTACAGGCAGATGAATAGAAGCCTATTTGGGGCCCCCTAAAGTTCTGTGACGGGGTGTTTGGTGTCCATCACCAATTGGCTCTGGTAACTGCATACTTGTGCAGAGTGCGTCTGGTGTCAAGACTTTGATCGGTGGCTGCAGCTGAGAGAAAGAAACTCATTTCATACCAATGAAGCGATGAGCACCAAACAAACAAAATACTGCACGGGTGACACAGGTGAAAAACTTTAGATTCTCATTCTGAAATGGTTAAATGTTGGCAATCAAATTTTTTTTCCCCCTCTAATCAGATCGGCTCTATGTTATAATATATTTTATGGTGCAAGAAGCCGGTTGATAACATCTGTTTAGTCGATATTACCATGGGAAACAAAATTAAAACATCAAAAGAAAAGTTTTGCACACTCAGGTTTTTTCTAGTTGCTGGTGAATAAAAGTAAGAGCCATTCTTTTGTTGAAGTCTGCGGTGTGGATTGTTAATTCAGGGTGAACACACAGCCACCCCTCTTTCATATAATGCAGCCGAGGTCGTAAAAATGGTCCTAGGGAGGTCAAGACATACCACTGAATCCTCTGGCCATCACCCTAGTACCCACTGGCAGGGGAACACTGGCCAAAAACACACTACTAGATCTTCAGAAGTGCATAAACAATGAAGTGCTCATTCAGTCAAACTTTATGCATTGTCAGTAGCCAGGTTCTGGCCTCCTTTGGTAGATTCCCCTGAACGTTTCTCTAACGACAGTGACCATCAACCTCTACATAAATACAGCCAGCACTTAAAGTCTCTACTTAATGAGAAATTTAAAAAGATCATTCGCTTTTTTTCTTCTTTTTTTTTTTTTGCTTTGGAATAGGAGCTGCAGCAGCTCTGCAAAGACAACAGAAGCAGAAATCATAACTCAAAGAACTTCTTGAGCCTTTTTCTCATGAGGCAACCTAACAGTCCTGGTGTTGTTCTCATTGCTTTGTTGGCATGAAGACACACTAGCACAACACCCATATGAAAGCACACTTCCCTTTGCAGTATACACGGGTGCCGCTTCCCTTGTGGTCACATGCCGCTGCTGAATTGGGTGTGGAAGGCACGGACTTTATTACCAAATGCACACAGAGAGCAAAACCTAAGTGATATCCTCAAATTGACACAAAGTCTCACTGACCCCTGCATTAAAAAAAAAAAGGAAGGACACAATACACCAGTGCAACAAACACCACATCACACCCTAATTTTATATTACTTATTTACTGTAAGTAAGCGCCATCATAAAGTAAGTACCGCTATGTTTACCTCAGTGTGATAGCTTTAAGATAAGGCTAACTTTGAATATCAGCTATAGTTACATTTACAGCCAGAGAGCAGATAAGTAAGGTACAACATGTAACTTAATATCATCTGGTCACACCAGCAAGTATTAAAGCCTTTTTTTCAACTAAAATCAA